TCACTCTAATCAAAAATTATATTTCATATTGCTATGGTTATACAAAGATGACAGATAGTCTTTTTATTAGCATTCATAACTTGAAACACTCTGACACTCTTCCCACAGTCCTAAGATTTCTAGTCCTCAGAGTTCCAATTAAAGTACAACTTTAAACTTAGAGACAAATTTAATATTTATAGAGTATGATTAATGTGTTAAGGTACCTTCACATAAGGCTTAGCTAGAACCTTATTGCCACTTTTTTTCCCATTTAAATTTAAAATATTGATTGCTAGAACCCTACTGTCACTTTTTTCTCATTTAAATATAAAACATTGATTGTTTTTATAAGGAAAGTAAAAAACATCTAAAAGCAAACAAAAATTCATTTATTGGGATTTAAGTAATAATTAATTGACATATTCTATTTTCTAAGATGAGCCTACATGGAGAATGGGAGGAAAAACAAAATCTTTCTTCCCCCGCTTGTCTTTTATCTAGTCAAAACGGAGTAGGTATTTATCCATTACCAACCCTGGGAAACAAGGTCATTTGTGGGGTCCAATTTTTTAGGGACTATTTTGAGTTTCATGGTTGACAAAAACATTACAAAGGCATACTATTTTTGGTATTAAAATAAATAGATAAAACACAACATACCTGAAAAAGAACATGTACATGGCTGCTGTTATGCAGAACAAAAGGACCTACAATAAGGAGAAAATAGATAAGTTGCAAAAGAACACTGACATCATCATTTGTATGACTTAGAAAAAGAAAATATCCATTATTAAAATTTGTGCCTGAAACAATAAAATGATATATAAAACTAGTCATGCATATGTTATACTCTCAATCTTTCAAATAAACTATATTAAGGCAATAATAAACTAATTATATAGATAATTATAAATATACACATTATGTACAACTGTCTCTCCATACCCGTAAGGGATTAGTTCTAAGCACAGCCCACCCACCACTAACTTTACCCCCACAAGGACCAAAATTTATAAATTTATAAAGCAATTAACTTCAAAACTAGGATAATGGCTTTTATACATTCAAGTCAATGTATGTCAGAAAGCCTATTAACTTCTATATCAAGACAATCAAAAGTAAAATACAGTTCAGCAGACAGCTAATTCTTAATTCTTGTTCTTTTTCCCATTGTACGTTTTTGGCACCTTTGTCAAATATAAAATAACTGTAATTATGTGGGTTTGTCTCTGTGTCCTCTATTCTGTACCATTGGTCTATTAGTTTTGTTGCCAACATCATGCTCTTTTTGTTACTATTGCTCTGTAGTATAGTTTAAGGTCTGGTATAGTGATGCCACCTGCTTCACTCTTCTTGCTAAGGATTGTTTTAGCTATTCTGGGTCTCTTATTTTTCCAGATGAATTTCATGACTAACTGCTTTTTCTATTTCTATGAGGAATGTCATTGGGATTTTGATTGGAATTGCATTACATCTGTATAGTGGTTTGGGTATTATGATCATTTTGACAGTATTAATTCTGCCTATCCAAGAATAAGGTAGATCTTTCCATCTTCTAAGGTCTTCTTTAATTTCCTTCTTTACCATTCTGTAGTTTTCATTGTAGAAGACTTTAACCTCTTTCATTAAGTTGATTCCCAAGTATTTTATTTATTTATTTATTTTGATGCTATTGTAAATGGCATAGTTTTCCTTGTTTCCCTTTCAGAGGATTTGTCACTGATATACAGAAATGCCTTTGATTTATGGGTGTTGATTTTGCATCCTGCTACTTTGCTGAATTCTTTTACTAGTTCTAGAAGTTTTCTGGTGAAATTTTTTGGGTCTTTTAGGTATAGAATCCTATCATCGGCAAATAGTACTATTTTGCTATCCTATGTTAAAATAGTGCCGTTTTATAGCATTCTCTCATTATTTGTCTGACAGCAATCCTAGATCTCTTTTATTTAGCATTAATTTTCTTTTATTTTTAACTGATTAGGATTATTAAATGTGTATATTGCTTACAAGCAGCATATCGTTGTCTC